GATCTGGGGCCTGGTTTCGGTCAGATGCCCCGCGACGTCCAGCTCTGGACGAAGATGGCCGCGGTTCTTACGTGTGTGTGTGTGTACGTGTGTGTGTGTGTGTGTGCGCGCGTATCTGGGGCCTCGTTTCAGCCGGATGCCCCGCGACGTCCAGCTCTGGACGAAGATGGCCGAATCCGAAGCCATTGGTGACGGAGTGTGGTGAATTAAAACGGAGCAACTTCCCCTGAGGCCAGCTGGAGGCCGAACTTGAAGATGCCTGACAGAAGGGGAACCTGCCAAGGAACAGACGAGAGTGTCGAGAGGTGAGTAGTACGGTGCGCTCAAATACGTCTTCGTTGATATCTAACACCTTTTCAAAAAGGATTTGAGGAGTATGTCGATTATACTGTAATTAACTATTTTTAAAGGATTTGGGAAGGTTGAGTGAAATATAGGGGCGTGGGGTGCATTTCCAAGTCAGGTAATATTTTCCTAGTTTGGGGCCTGCTCTCAAGGTGGAAAAAAGGTCAAGGAACAGAACCCATTTTCGGCTGCAGTTATGTTTTGAAGAGGAAGCAACTCGCGAAGGGACATAAAACTTAGCAGAAAGAGGATACACACAAGCAAGTAAGAAAGAAAGAAAAAAAAAAAAAGACAAGGCAGAACAGTGTTTGTTTATGGCATCTTACTGTGGAATCAAGACTTGAGTGGGCAGGTGAAATACCAGTAGAAGTGACTCTGTGGACTTGTAAGAAAAAGAGAAATATTATATCCCCTCATGAATTCACTGTTACTATGATTAGATTAATTTTCAGGAAATAGGACTCACATCTCGGTTTCTTTCTTTTTTTCTTTTTTTTTAATCCAACACCATTTAGATAAATCTTGTGATGGTGGAGTTTCTAAAGGGAATGATAAACGGCCATCCTACCCAGGGCTTTAAAAGTGACAAACATTCGATGCTAATGTGTAGCCACCAGAGGGTAGAAATGAGTGAAAATATTTTGTCTTCCTTTGTATGGATAGCCAGTGCTTTTTGGAGTTGATTTTTTTTTTTTTCATTTCTTCTCCTTGGCATTTATGGTTTTAGCTATTTTAGAAGTAGAGAGCACAGCACTCAGCCCTACATAATAATTTTAATATTAAAACAATTATTTATTTTATTTATTTTTAATATTTCTATTTTGAATACAAAATTATTTCCCAGCTCTTCCCTAATCTTTTACCATTTTATGGAATCTTGTTTTTCTTTGTGTGTTAAGTGGTGATGGCTGTGGTGGGGTGGGGGGGTACATTACACTTGGAGAGTTGTAAAACCGAACACTGAATGTAATATTCCATGTGTTAAAAACAAAGCAAAATGAAAGAAAGAAAACAAAGGAAAGAAAAAAAACCCCGAAATAAAAAACAACCACGTATCTCTGAACATATCCTCAACCCATTGACTTCTCTCCATTTTTACTGCTACCATTGTGGTCAACTCCCTATTACTGCAGCTTGACCTTCAAACTAATTTCCTTGCTTTCACCCTTGCCCCTCTTTACTCCATTTGTCACATAAGCAGGCAGATCTTTTCAAAATCTGAGTTAGATCATGTTATTCTGCTGTTGAAAACGCTCACAGGCTTCCCTCTATCTGAGAATAAATTAATCAAAACTTTCTCTGACCTGTAGAATCCTTCATATTTCTATCACTCCCTCCTCATTTCGACACTCTGCTGGATCCAGCAGGTTTCAGCCTCACTTGGGGACTTTGGAATTAGTAGTTACCATTGCTCGTAAGTTCTCATGGTTGGCTGCTTCTTCCTATTCAGATTTCAACTTAAATGCGAAACTTTCTGGAGAGTTTGTCCTTGACATCCAGTGTAGCACAAGTCACAAGTCATTCTCATCAGTCTGTTTTAAATTTCTGCTTAGTGTTCCATCTGACATTTATTGATCTTCTCTCTCCCTCCACTAGAATGTAAGCTTTCTGAGAGCAGGGAACTTGTCTACTCATTATCTGAAGAGTACCTGGCTCATAGTAGGTGCTCAAAATAACCCAAGTGGAACTCGTCTTTTTACTTTGGGTCACCTGAGTCCACTCAGGTGTAAAAAACAGTTTTTCCCACTGAGTATTAATCCTTGTGATGCTTTATTTGAAGACAGCTGTTTCAGATAGATTTAACAAGTTTTCCACCACCAAGTTATCTTTTTTTTTTTTTTTTAAATAGGCTGTACACCCAATGTGGGGCTTGAACTCACAACCCCGAGATTAAGAGTCGCATGCATTACCAACTGAGCCAGCCAGGCGCCCCCTGAGTTATCTTTCTTGATTTGTATATAACTTTATTTCGAATGTTATCTACAAATTCATTAATATAAAATGACTTACCCAGGATTACATAACTGGTAAGCCAAGAGACTTCATTTACTCATCCATCTGTTGCTAAATATGAGACATTAGGCTGAGCTCTGGGGATACACCATGAACTAGGAAGACACCATTCATGTCTTCATAGAGCTTATCTTCTGGTGAGGGAGACGGGAAAGCAAACACAAAAGGAAGGCAAAATACTTGAAAGTTTTTAGTAGTGATGTGAAGGAAACAAGATCAATCTATCTCTAGAAGATCATAGAATATTCTAGAATATGGCTCTGATCTAGGAATCAATGAATCAACAAATGTTTCTCCCCCCCCCCCCAAAAAAACATTTCTTGTACTGGTTGTTTTCCTTTGGCAATCATCTTTGGCTTTTGAACTTGCTATGGAGGATCAGGAATACTAGATGTTAAGTAGAGGTAGAAGATGTGATAAGAGGGATGCCTGGGTGGCTCAGTCGGTTAAGTGTCTGCCTTCAGCTCAGGTCATGATCTCAGGGTCCTGGGATTGAGCCCGAGTCGGGCTCCCTGCCCAGCAGGGAGTCTGATTTACCCTCTCCCTCTGCTCCTTACCCCACACATGAATGTGCGTGCATGTGCGCTCTCTCTCTCTCTCAAATAAATAAAATCTTAAAAAGAAAGATGTGATAAGATAGTAGAAGATTCCTAGATAATGAGAGTTAAAGGTTGTTCATTTCTCTGTTAAATGTATTCATTTCCCAGTCTGGTTTGTTTAAAGCCCACCAAACAAGTGCTGGGATGCCTGTTTGAGAGAAGGCCTTTTCTTGGCCACTTGAGGTCAAATATAAGGGTCTGTGAGACTGTAGACAGAATATGATGGGGTGCATAATGACTGGATCAGCTTAATTAGAAGGGCACATACTGAGGAGAAGTGGAATTCCAGTTTAGATAGCTAAGGAAAGGTCAGATTATGGTTAATAAATGTGACTTTAGTGTATTGAATGAATACACTTGAAAGCAGACGAGGAACTTGGCCTTTACCCTGACCACAGTGTAAAGTGATGGAAAGAACACAGGCTTTGGAGTCAGATGGATGAGGGGTTCACTTCTTAGCCAGATGATCTCAGGCAAGTTTCCTCACCTTGTTGAACCTTGATTTTCTCATTTGTGAAATGGTGGTAGTACTATCTCCATGGTGTTGTTTTAGAAGTTAGAGACAGTGAGTGCAAAGTGCCTTTCACATGATAGATGCTCCGTTATTGTTTGCTCTTATGGGGCATTGGTGAGCCACTGAAGGTTTGGGGGCAGGGTTGGTACTGGTAATAATAACTCATTCTTAGTGAGTTTATAACCAAATGCTGTACGTTTTAAGAACTTTGTGTATTTTAATTCTCACAGCAGTCCTGTGAGAGATATAGTTATTATCCCCATTTTACAGTTAAGGAAACAGAGGCTCAGAGAGGTTATCTAATTTGTCCAAGGTCGCATAGTAATACATTTACTTAATTGTTCTTGCAGAGGAGGAAGGTTTGCAGCCAGGCAGTCTGAGTGCAGAACCTATGCTCTTAACCATTATTTTAGATTATGAAAACTTTATGAAGATCCATTTGGCAACAGCCTACAGGATAGAATTTAGATTTTTCAGTAAGAAAGTAAAAGGAAATTTTGGATTCATCATTATCATCTTTGTTTAGTAACCACCAAGTGACCAGAAAATACTAGTCTTTGTCAAGCCTGTTAAGAAAAAAAAAATCCAGTCTCTGTCCTTTGTGGCATAACAGTGTAAGAACATATTAAGGATAATTCTTAAGAAAAGAATACTCGTATAATCCTTTACTTGGGTTAAATGTAAAAAGAGAATGTACGAACTAGAGCATCTTGAGCTTGAAGTGCACAAAGAAATTGAATTTTCTTAACAGGAGACGTGTTTTTTCTTACATATGCTGTTATCCCCTCAAAATAAATTTCTTGCTTATTGAATTCCATTTATTCTCCCCCTCAAACCCACATTATTTTGATTTGAAGACAAATGGGAAGACAGTGATTTTCCTCAACAGCCCAGTGGATTCAGCCTCTTTCTAGTTGAAAGTATAGGCACTAAAAACTTAACAAGTCCAGGCATTTATTTTTTCTCATTAGCTCTAATGCAGTTAAATGAAGACAATGAAATTGAGAGTTTACCTCAGATATTCCCTACCATCCCGATCAATACATAATAGTCCTATTTCTAGGATTTTTCTCTCCTTCCCTTTCTGTCTTCTTTTGGGAAAATGCCTTGGGGTTGAAAGCAACAAACCAAATAGCAGGCAAATAAAATCAGCTCTTCTATTTCCCTACCCGGAAAGGAAGGGAAAGAGAGCAAGAACCCCACCATCAAAGAGAACTGAAGCTTAGGCGTGCCATCCTAAAAAGCCCTTGTTCCTTCGGCACGCCCCCCCCCCCCCCCCCCGAGCTCTGCAGCAATTCCTCAGAGATTGTGTAGTCTCCACTTTAAATATAAATATATATATAAAACTTCCCTCTGTCTCTTTCTCTCCTCCTCCCTCTCTCCTTTTTTATTTTTTTAATTTCCTATAATGAAGTTTCCTATTGGATAAAATCAGCTCCCTGATTTATGCCTGGTTCCTATTGGAAGTTCTCAGGGGCTGACATCACTTAGGAAAGCGAGGGGGTAGGGCTGCCAGATCAGTTTGTCACCACCCAGGCTCCCTAGCCTTTGGCTGGGTGCAACTTCCATTTTAGGTGTTGGATCTGAGAGGAAAAAAAAAAAAAGAGAGACTGAGAGAGAGGGAGAGAGAGAGAAAGAAGAGCAGGAAAGATCCTGAAAGGAGGAAGAGGTGGCGAAAAATCAAGTACCTTGCTGGATTTGTCTTTCTCAGCACATTGACGAAGCCTTGGGTTTCTTTCTTAAAGGACTGGTTTTTAGAAGTCAACATTTGAGGTGTGTGCCTTTTTAAAAAATGTGTGTACAGACGGGTAAAGGAGGAGAAGCCAAGTCGAATTTTTGTCTTACGGTAACCAGAGGGAAGTTAAAAAGGAGAGAATCTGCTCCGCTGACGGGTGACTTTTAAGCAATTATTAGTTTTTCTTTCTACTTACTTTGGGGAATTTGGGTATTATATTAAAAAGTAAAATATTCAAAACCCAGAAACAAACTTCTAGGTCTGTCTAATATAGAGAAGAATAGATTCAGAGGGGTGAGAGCAAATTTACATTTACATGTAAATTTACATTTTGGTGTGTTCTCTGATTTTATATTTTTCTGGTTTAAGCTAACAAACTTCTATTTTCAGAGCCCAAACCAAAAGTTCGGTTTTTCAGCATGTTGTGTGTGGGTTGGGAAAGGAATTTGTCCTGGTCAGAAGCTAGTTATAAGATGGTTCTTCGTATGTTTCAAAACTTCTTTTCCTGTTATCATTAGATTCGTGGAAGTGGAAAGTTGTAGGGGGCTTTGCAGCTTTAAATGGTGGTGTTTTTTTTCCCCCCAGAGAGTTTGAACAGCCCAGATCAGTTTCAGCCCTGCTGTTCCTGGGTGGATCCCTCTTTTACTGTTCCAGGTGCGGTGGGTGGGAGCCTCATTCTCCTGCTAGAGTAGCCTCCCTGCTTTGCTTTATAAAAGAAAACAAATGGATCCCTGTTAAACTGCCATTCCTTTTCTTCCCAAGACTACCTTTGATGGCAGAGATTTGTGGAGGTGTCGTAGGTGCAGTTTGCAAGTAGCATAACGTTTGGTTTCTGTGTTTCAAGGGATAAGGAAATTCTAATCGTGCCTTTTCAGTTCACCTGAATAAAGTGGCAGCACACCTGGAAATATTTTCAGCATTGTGCTCTCTGAAAGAGCCATGGATTAAATAAGATGAGGTTAAGAGAAAACACTCAGTGCAAACTTTAGTGTTTAGAATGCATTTAAGAAAGCACAACAGGAATTCTTATTTTTAAGCCAACTGAAAGTTGTTTTTTGGAGGTGAGTTTTTTGGTTTGGTTAATTTGCTTTGGAAATCAGAAATCTGTAAGGGCTGAAGGCCCATGACTGCTTTTATATATTTAATCTTAAGATTTGTTTTTTGTTTTTGCAGATACATTCTTGCAAAAATACTGTTTGTAGATAATTATATAGCCAACTCATCAGTAGCTGAAAACTGAGTGTTCCCTTCTTTCTGTCTTTGAAAATGCAAATTGGTCTGAAAATTATAGCTGGAATAGGTACTGCCCTGATTGTAACAAGATGGGCCTTAATAGATAAGCTGCTCTTTAGCTTTAAACTGGTATGTATCTTTAGTAATCCTCTGGTTTTTGTGCCCTCCCCCCATTCTTTTGAGACCACAACACTTCTTTAAATTTCTTTTCCAGAATAAGAGTATTTCTTGGAAGGTGATTTCATCCTTGTGAGGTTGTGGCTTCAGAGGAAACAACTTTGTTCCTTCTTTTAATATAATCTATTCGAGGGCTACAGTAAAATCTTGATGTCTGGATCCCATAATTATAGCAAGTGCAGTTAAAAAGAAAGGAAAAAGACAATGTGTACAGTCTGTTGGGCTGTAGTTCTCATTTAATATTTTCCAAATTTTCTTTCAAACATTTCTCTGCCTTGACTCCAGCCTAGGGGAGGTTTCTTGGTGGATCTTCGGAGGGTTGGTCATGTTGCTGCCAGAGTGTCGGTTTTCCACTCAACCTTTAGGGGGAGGGATAAGGGAATCTGAAGGAGGAGTACAAAGGCAGTTTGAAAATAGGTTCTGGATGACTGAGTGGTGGTGATTTGGTTCCAGCTTTAAATACTGGGCTTTGTGTAGCTGCAGTGAGCATCCTAGTAACTAGCGTACAGGACTATTTCCACAACTGAGGCTTTGTTTTGACTGGTGTGTACTATAGAGCCTTTTGGTTGATAAGATGGAAGATTTGTCTTTTACCTCACCTCTACTAGTTCTTTCAGGAAATATAAGGGGTGCAAATAAGTAAATCTTTTATTTTTTGTTTTGCTCCTCATTTTGGTTTTTGGGTAAAAAATGACAAGTAAGTATGAGTTGTGCAGATTTTTATTTTATTTTTTTTGTTTGACTCCTATATACTGTTGGTTTCTTTGTTATATGACTAAGGTACGGTCTGTGTATTCCAGGTGGGTGTCTCTTTTGAGTGGTTAGAGTTCTAGTGCCTATCTTAGGGTTCCAAATTATTGAGAGTCACAGAGGCAAGGATATGTTCTCTGAGTATAAAAATTGGGACTGTTGGAGATGTTAAAAAAAAAAACTCCGAGTAATTGCAATTCAGCCTTAGGTTTATGAGGTAGTTGCTCTCTAGGGATGGGTGAGACAGGATGGATGCAAATAAATTAAGCATAGATCACTATACAGTTGGAATAACAAAATGATTAGCTCTGTATAATTTATTGTTTTCTGTTTTAGAACCTGATGGTCCCCTGTTATTTCCAGCCCTCTCTCCCCGCCCCCTTGTTGTTTTTTACTGCGTGCTAAGCATTTTGCATAAACTATTTACTTAATTTCCCACAACTGTTTTTTAAGGAATGTGAGCCTCAGAGAAGCTGAGGTTTGCTGCAAATCTCACTGCCTGTAAGTGGCCAAGGCCAGGATTAAATCCTTGTCTGACTAACTACAAAGTCCATGGACTTAGCCACTAATGTACTACTTATTTTCTAGAGAGAACAGAAACAAGAACCAGAACTAAAATGAGCCCTTGATAGAGGCAGAAGTGTTTAATTTTGCAGAGGGCCAGCCCCCACTTAGATTTCCAACCCCCTGCATGTTGGGATAATATATGTAAAAACCCATTTTCCATAAATCCCATAGGGAGCTGAATATGTTAGAATGGGTATTATCTCAGTCTTTAAAACAGGGATCTTCCCATATGCTCATCGTTGCTGTCCTGATTTCTTAAACTTACCGGAAATGCCTCCAACTTTGATTATCGGTGAAATTTCTTCTTCCAGACAATTTTCAGGGATGTGGTTTGGAATGATCTTGCCAACTTGCAGGGAGAGGCTTGTAACAGTAGCTCAAAAATGTTCATCACACTGTGTTAAAATTGTCTACTTATTTTTGTCTTTCCCTCTAGACTGTGAGCTGCTTGAGTGTAGATGCTGTGTTACTTCTGTGTCCTCTTAGCACCTATCTCAGTGTCTGGTATATACCGAGGTGTCAGTAAGCCTTGGTTAAATAAGGCACTTGATATAGGAATCACTGAGGGACTTTTGTGGGGAAGGCTAAAAGAAAGTTGAGATAGGAAGCAGTACAACTGAGATTAATGAAATCACTTTGTGATTTAGATACTTCTGCTGTAGTTTGTAGTTTCGACCTTTTACACATTTCCTACCTCCATTTTTAGGGTTTCTGGAGATAATTGAAGATTTAAAATTTTAATTAAAAACAAAATTCTGTTTCTTTTCTGTGAAAGCTGTCCAAAGAATAGGATAAAAAGTAAGGGTCCTAATATTTTATAATCTAGGCAGCTGTTAACTTCAACCACTGAAACCTTAAATACAGCCATTGTCTAGGGGAGAGGCACTGCTTACCTGGAACTTTACTAAGGCAGCAGCAGGGACATACTGCTTTCAGACATGTTGGAAGTGAGTGGTTTTAAATATACTAGTTAATAAAAACATAAAAAGCTTGGGATGATAGTTTTGAACATCAGTGTTCTAAAGAAAGTATATTCGGATATCATTGTATTTTTTTTATCAGTGCTTCTGCCATGAAACTTCAGGAGATTTTGTTCACAGAGTGTATTGGGAAGTTTATGAATTTAAGAACCCAAATTGGTATTCATGGGTAATTTAGAACGATAGTCACAAGAAACTTGCCTAAAAGAATGATGTGTAGGTTATCAGTATGTGATTTCATGTTCTCTTCCATTGCACAAGGATTCAAATGCCTTGATCATAAAGCTGAAACATGGATCGCTCTGCCTAAATGCAGCTGCCTGCAAGGTTTCCAATAGAGAGCATTGATACAGCCTGGCAGGGACAGAGGAAGGAGGGAAGAACTGATATTCTGGTTAGAACTAGCAAGGGGGAAACAAGTGTTTGGATAGATTTGTATTTGGTTATATCGTATAATGCATTTTTGGGAGTAAATGCACCCCCCCCCCCGTATTTGGGATTACATGTCATTGGTTATTAAATATTAAACATTGAGAATGGAGCCCGCATTTAGTGTTGTGGTTCAGGGACAGTGTTACCCATTTTTAGGCCCATTTCTTCAGTTGAGTCCTTCAGTCTGACTGGAGTGATGTGGGCAGTTTAGATCGGGCATTTCGTGGGGACATTATAAGGATCGTTTTCTTTTAAAGCCTTCTTTGCTGGCCAACAGGTAGTTTGGTCATCACTTTTACAAAAGATATCCCATTATATGATGATAAAAGCAACTTCAAACTTTTAATCTTGAAAAAAATTTCAAACTTAGAGGAAAGTTCTAAGAATAGCGCAAGAACTCCTGTGTATCCTTCAGTCATCTAGACACCCATGGTTAACCTTTTGCCTCAAATGCTTTGTTATTCTGTATTTTTTGATCAATATGCTGACCGAACAGAATTTCCAGTCTAAGAGTTCCACACATCTGGAGAGGCAGGGCAGTGTAGCATAGTGCTTAAGAGCATGGATCCCTGAGCTAGTCTACCTGGGATCAACTCTTGCTCTGCCACCTACTAGCGTTTGCCTTGGGCAAATTGTTTAACCGCCCTAAGCTTTGGTCTCTGTTGGTAAAATGAGGACAATATTATCCATCTCATAGAATTGTTGTGATGCTTAAGTGATTTAATAAATGTAAAAATGGTGCTCATGGTAATGCCTTGTAAGTTTTTGCTATTAGAATGGATGCTTTAAATGAATTCAGATTATCATTTGTCTGTTGGACTAAATAAATACCCTTTAAGGTCTCTTAAAACCTGATATTCTAGGGTATAGATGTTTGTATTAGGGAATAAATGGGCTTC